CCCCCCCCTTCCTTCGGTTTCCTTCCTACCCCCATTCTGTTTCTTGTTATTTGTCTATCCTCCTCCCTCTCCTGCCTTTCACGGTCCTCTCTTTCTCTTCTTCTTCTCCTTCTCTTCCCGCTCTCCTAACATTTTTTTTTATTTACATCCTTTTTATAACTTTCTTTCTTTGTTTCTTTAACTTTCTCTTGCTTCTGTATTTGTGATTAGAATATTTCGTTCCCTGTTTTTCTGTCTGTCTGTCTGTCTGTCTGTCTGTCTGTCTCTCTCTCTCTCTCTCTTTCTCTTTCTCTTTCTCTTTCTCTTTCTCTTTCTCTTTCTCTCTCTCTCTCTCTCTCTCTCTCTCTCTCTCTCTCTCTCTCTCTCTCCCTCTCCTCTCCCTCTCCCTCTCCCTCTCCCTCTCCCTCTCCCTCTCCCTCTCCCCTCCCTCTCCCTCTCCTCCCCTCTCCCCTCTCCCTCTCCCCCTCCCCCTCCCCCTCTCCCTCTCCCTCTCTCATTCATTTAACACTTCTTTAACTATTTATTCCACCTTCACTCCCAAGAAAATGTCTACATCGTTAAAATGATTAACTGTCCAGGCGTCATTAACAAATGTCAAATAGATGTCTTCATGATTAATTACAACGCAATAATATCAAACGTCTGTCTACCTGAAGTGTATCGCCATATTCAGCGTCCTCACCATCGCACCATCACGTCACTATCACAGCGTATTTATTGTCCTCACTATGGCTTCAGCACTATGACATGACTCGTCACTATCGCCCCGCTCACTATGGCGACCAGCAGGTGACACACGCACACAAAAATGACAAATGGACATTGCAAAAGTATATATTTCCTCGTGACAGTCGCTCGCCATTACAAAAATCCCCATAATGTGAATGCAGGCTCTTCCGTCTAGCAGTTGCAACAGTCATTTCTGGCAAACTGATCAATACGCACTGGGGCAGGTCATCATATCCGGTGAATAATTGAATGAATCAGCTTGAATAACATCTCTTGGAGAACATTCTCGAAAACTCTCCCTTTTTTTCGGTATTATGAATGCAACACCCACCTCACTCAGACACAATAGCGCGATGGATTCTCTCCTCTCTTTTTTGGGGGGACGTATAAATATGCATTATAGATTCGTGTCCCCTTCGCCATGTGTAAACAAGACTGTTCAATGACCCTCTTTCTTCACACTTTGCCAATTACACATTTTAAACTTGGTGACACATTGAACATATTGATCTTTCGAGAGCAGTTGTTGCACAGGACTTCGCTGTAATGGTACGGAGCGCCGTTGCAATGTTTAAATGCAAGTCGAGGAGGGCAGGAGAAGCGCGTGGGTAGGTATGTAAGTAGGTATTAGGGTAGATAGGTAGAGGTTGGTTGAGAAATAGGTAAGTAAGTTTGGTAGGTAAGTGGGGAGGGAGGGGAAGAGGCAATGGGGAGGGAGGGGGAGAGGTAATGGGGAGGGAGGGGAGAGGTATTGGGGAGGGAAGGGGAGAGGCAGTGGGGATGAAGGGGGAGAGATATTGGGGAACGAGAGGGAGATAGGATAGACACGTGATAAATCTATTGTTTTGCGAAATTAATACGAATGACACGAGAGCGAAAGAGACACCAATAAATAGGTCACATCATTCCCGAAAGAAAGAAAGGAGATAGAAGAAAATAAATAAAGAGAGGCGAGAGGCTGGCACGAGAGAGCGAATTGATAAAGTCAAGGAGAAAAGGAAGTGTGTGAGAGAATGACGGGGCGCGAAAAAAAGTTATTCACAGGAATGCTTACGAAAGTATTGAAATGAGGGAGAAGAGAGAGAGGGGAAGAAAATGACATTTAAGGAAAAAAAGGAAGAGGAGGGAGAACTGAAGGAAGAAGAAGGAGAAGAGATAGGGGAGTAAGGAGATGTTTAGAAGAGGAAAAATAATAACTGTAACAATTATAATAATAATAATATAATAATCATAATAATGTATAAAGTAATATATAAAAAAAACATTGATAATAACAGCATCTTAAAATAACTTAATGTTAGTACTACTACTACTACTACTACTACTAATAATAATAATAATAATGACAATAATGATAATAATGATAATAAACAAAAATAATGTGAAAATGAAGAAAAAGATCAAGTGGAGAGGAGGACGATCAGACATTCCACTTCGTGACTCTCTTCACTATATCTTGCAAGAATGATTTGCAAGCAGCCTACGTTATTTTGGGTGTGGAAGCGAAGCAGGGATAGCAATAAAACCATTTCTTGTCTCTCTCTCTCTCTCTCTCTCTCTCTCTCTCTCTCTCTCTCTCTCTCTCTCTCTCTCTCTCTCTCTCTCTCTCTCTCTCTCTCTCTCTCTCTCTCTCTCTCTCTGTGTGTGTGTGTGTGTGTGTGTGTGTGTGTGTGTGTGTGTGTGTGTGTGTGTGTGTGTGTGTGTGTGTGTGTCTCGCTCTCGCTCTCTCTCTCTCGCTCTCTCTCTCTCTCTCTTTCTCTCTCTCTGTCTCTGTCTCTGTCTGTCTCTCTCTCTCTCTCTCTCTCTCTCTCTCTCTCTCTCTCTCTCTCTCTCTCTCTCTCTCTCTCTCTCTCTCTCTGTGTGTGTGTGTGTGTGTGTGTGTGTGTGTGTGTGTGTGTGTGTGTGTGTGTGTGTGTGTGTGTGTGTGTGTGTCTCGCTCTCGCTCTCTCTCTCTCTCTCTCTCTCTCTCTCTCTTTCTCTCTCTCTGCCTCTCTCTGTCTCTGTCTCTGTCTCTCTGTCTGTCTCTCTCTCTCTCTCTGTCTCTCTCACTCTCGCTCTCGCTCTTTCTCTCTCTCTCTTTCTCTGTGTGTGTCTCTGTCTGTCTTTCTCTCTCTCTCTCTCTCTCATTCTCTCTCTCTCATCTCCTCTCTTTCGATAAAAATATAACCTCATTAAAATCAAATTTCTACCTTGACCTAGCTTCCCCATAACGAGTGACCTGGTTTGACCTCGCCTTTAAACAACATTCGGGTCACTGCTATTCCCTCTCTTTATCACTCGCTACTATAATCTTCCGTACGTTATTATTGTCATTATTTACGTAAATAATGTTGTTGTTTTTCTCTCTCCCGTGTCAATGTTGCCTTTATAAACTGCCGTAGTCATAGAAGCGCAAAACTGCAGTTGGTTGGTGTTGCTGGCTCGCTCAGTCGTGGTGATGGTGATGGTGGTGGTAGTGATGGTGGTGGTGATGGTGGTGGTGGTGGTGGTGATAGTGATGGTGGTGGTGATGGTGGTGGTGATGGTGATGGTGGTGGTGATGGTGATGGTGGTGGTGATAGTGATGGTGATGGTGGTGGTGATGGTGATGGTGATGGTGATGGTGACGGTGGTGGTGGTGATGGTGGTGGTGATAGTGATGGTGATGGTGGTAGTGGTGGTGGTGATGGTGATGGTGATGATGTTGATGGTGATGGTGATGGTGATGATGATGATGATGATGATGATGATGATGATGATGATGATGATGTTGATGTTGATGTGATGTTGATGGTGATGGTGGTGGTGATGGTGATGGTGATGGTGGTGGTGATGGTGATGGTGATGGTGATGGTGATGGTGATGGTGGTGGTGATGGTGATGGTGGTGGTGATGGTGATGGTGGTGGTGATGGTGGTGGTGGTGGTGGTGATGGTGGTGGTGATGTGATGGTGATGGTGGTGGTGATGGTGATGGTGATGGTGGTGGTGATGGTGGTGGTGATGGTGATGGTGATGGTGATGGTGATGGTGATGGTGATGGTGATGGTGATGGTGGTGATGGTGATGGTGGTGGTGATGTTAATGGTGATGGTGGTGGTGATGGTGATGGTGGTGGTGATGTGGATGATGGTGATGGTGGTGGTGATGTGATGGTATGGTGGTGGTGATGTGATGGTGATGGTGGTGGTGATATGATGGTGGTGGTGATGGTGATGGTGATGGTGATGGTGATGGTGATGGTGATGGTGATGGTGATGGTGATGGTGATGGTGATGGTGATGGTGATGGTGATGGGATTGATGATGATGATGATGATGATGATGATGATGATGATGATGATGATGATGATGATGATGATGATGATGATGATGATGATGATGATGATGATGATGATGATGATGATGATGATGATGATGATGATGATGATGATGATGATGATGATGATGATGATGATGATGATGATGATGATGATGATGATGATGATGATGATGATGATGATGATGATGATGATGATGATGATGATGATGATGATGATGATGATGATGATGATGATGATGATGATGATGATGATGATGATGATGATGATGATGATGATGATGATGATGATGATGATGATGATGATGATGATGATGATGATGATGATGATGATGATGATGATGATGATGATGATGATGATGATGATGATGATGATGATGATGATGATGATGATGATGATGATGATGATGATGATGATGATGATGATGATGATGATGATGATGATGATGATGATGATGATGATGATGATGATGATGATGATGATGATGATGATGATGATGATGATGATGATGATGATGATGATGATGATGATGATGATGATGATGATGATGATGATGATGATGATGATGATGATGATGATGATGATGATGATGATGATGATGATGATGATGATGATGATGATGATGATGATGATGATGATGATGATGATGATGATGATGATGATGATGATGATGATGATGATGATGATGATGATGATGATGATGATGATGATGATGATGATGATGATGATGTTGATGTTGATGTACCTTTCGCTATTGCACGGAAAAGAAAAGAAACTTTATAACACCCCCCCCAAAAAAAAAAAAAAAAAAATCTACTTCATACCCAACTCTGCTTTATACCAACCCCCCCCCCCCCCAACCCCCAATAAAAAGGAACCATCTACTTAAAAAAACAACAACAACATTAATTTCTTTTTGGGGGGAACATTTTTTTTTCATGGACTGTACAACAAATATAGGAATCTTCACGTACCTTTAATACCCCCTCCGCACACCGATGGGGGGATGAGCGCCCATAAGACCACCCACGCCCACAAGGGAGTCCGTGATGACCCTGCGAAGAAGAGGAAAAACAGTATTAATACTAAAACTATGAATAATAATGATAACAACCGAAAATAATATCAAAAGAACAATAATAATGATAATGATAATAACTAAGGTAGAAAATCAAATGGGTACAAATGATATACAGTTATCCTTAATATTAATACTAAAACTATGAATAACAATAATCACAGCCGAATATTATATCAAATGAACAATAATAATGATTATGATAATGACTAAGGTAGAAAATCAAATGGGTACAAATGATATACAATTATCCATAACATTAATACTAAAACTATGAATAACAATATTAACAATTATCCATAATTATTTTCCTACAATTATACATAACATTAACAAATAAAGAAATATCATAATATAATATTAAATTAAGGACATACAAGAAACGCTAAAACACACAGTGAAGAGGAAGTAACAGTTTTTAAGAAATATAAAACGAAAAGGAAATGTTATTCTTTTTAAACTAGAAATTCTAACAATTATTCATCATAACAATGTACTATAAAAGAAAAGAAAGTATTTGTCTTTTTACCTAGATATGTTAGCTAGTTTTTAATGTGTCAAGTATGTGAGAGAGAGAGAGAGAGAGAGAGAGAGAGAGAGAGAGAGAGAGAGAGAGAGAGAGAGAGAGAGAGAGAGAGAGAGAGAGAGAGAGAGAGAGAGAGAGACAGACAGACAGAGAAAGAAGAAAAAGGAAAAACAAAAAAAGAAAGACAGACAAAAAATGGAGGGAAACGGAAGGGACAGAAAGAGAAAGAAAGTCAAAATCAAAGTCAAAGTCAAAACACTTTATCCCATTAATTACAATAGTTCTTCTTTTGACATAGATTGTGACACCATACAATAATACAAGAATATGTAGAAACAATAACAAATACACTGGTCGGAGGTAGATATTAAAAATATGATGATGGAGTAGCAAATACACTGGTCGGGGGGAGATATAAAAATACGATGATGGAGAGGATGGAGAGAAAGAGACGACAAAGAAAGAGGAAAAAAAAGTCGACCATTTGAGGCACGCAGCCCAACACCCTGGCGTGTGAAGCCGAGGCAGAGGCAGCGGGGAAGGTGATGCAACGACGGCCTCCTCAGTGCCATTGTCCCTCCCAGGCACCGTGTTGACTTGAGGCAGTCACTATGAGGGATGAAGGGGGGAGGGGTAATGGGGAAGGAGGGGGAGAGGTAATGGGGAGGGAGGGAAGAGGGAGTTAATGGGTAATGGGGAAGGGGGGGGGAGAGGTAATGGGAAAGGAGGAGGAGAAATAATGGAGAGGGAGGGGAGAGGGAGTTAATGGGGAAGGAGGGAGAGAGATAATGGAGAGGGAGGGGGAGAGGCAATGGGGAGGGAGAGGGAGGGGGAATGGGGAGGGAGGGGGAATTAATGGGAAGGGAGGGAGAGAGATAATGGAGAGGGAGAGGGAGAGGCAATGGGGAGGTAATGGGGAGGGAGGGGGAGAGGTAATGAGGGAGGGAGAGGGAGAGGTAATGGGGAGGGAGGGGGAAGGGAAGGGAAGAGAATGGACGGATAGGAGGGAGGGAAGAAAGGGAGAGATGGAGGGGAGAATAAAGTAAGGAAGAGTGAAAGGGAAAAGAGAAGGAAATATGGAAAGAAGGAGAGGAGGAGAGGAAGAGAAGAAGGGAAGGAAGAAGAACGAGAGGACAGGGTAAAGAGACAAGAACTGGTAGAGAAAAGGAAAGGAAGAGAAGAGGGACGCAAAAGAAGAAGGGGATAGGGAGGAGGAGGATAAAGAGGAGGGAGCAGTAGTGTAAGAAGTGTGTGGGAAGCGATGCTGACATTTCCCTGTAGACACCTGCTCTCTTTTGATGTCTCATTCTTTCTTTTCTTATCTGTCTCTCCTCCTTTTCGTCTTTTTTTTTTTTTTTTTTTTTTTTTTGTTTGTTTGTCTGTCGGTCTATCTCTTCCTCTCTTTTTTCTTATCTATCTCCCCCTTTTCGTCTATTTTTTTTTCTGTCTATCTCTTCCTCTCGTTTTTTTTCCTTTTTATTATCAAGCAATTCTGAGCATTTACTTTTGCAACCCATCATCATCATCCTCTCACCATCCCTTCAACCATCTTCACCATCACTCCCTTCATCCGCCGTCGCCATGCACACCATATTGCCACCCCCCCCCCCCTACCTACACTGCTACACTCACCCTCAAGTCACCATCCCCAACGCCAATATTACCTCCTGCACACCAAACTGCCCCTCCCCCCCCCCCCCACACACACACCTACACTACTACACTATCACCCTCAAGTCACCAATATTACCCTCAAGGAAATATTTCACCCTCAAGTCGCCAATATTCCCTCCTGCACACCATACTGCCATCCCCTCTCCCCCCACCTACACTGCTACACTGTCATCCTCAAGTCACCATCCCCAACGCCAATATTACCTCCTGTCTCCCAGCCTCTGTATCTCCTCGACTGCAACACTCTAACCTACTCGGAACTCCGTCTGTTGAAGCCACAAAGAGAAAGAGAAAGAAGAGAGAGAGAGAGAGAGACGAAAAGATAAAAAAAAAGTGCCTTTGATGCTTAGCGAAAGCCATTATGTAAAAAATCTCCTTCGACACAAAAGCTTGAAAGAGAAGGAGGACCGTTTTCTCGACGTAAAGACCGATTATTTACACTAGTAAGACCGGGGGATACACTGTGACATTAATTCGAAAGTACTTCAGGTCCGAAAATCGTTTTAAGATATTCCATTATTCTAACTTATTAAAGGCCCCACCGACGGTAGGCCAAACAGGTAACTTGCCAAACGACTTCAAACCACAACAAACAATCCACACGAGGGAAGGCAGACGAAAAGACAGGCAGACAGACAGACCGACCGACAGACAGACAACGAGAGAAGAGCTTTAGTGTGATCGCACTTCTCACTTTCCCTTTGATATCAAAGACTGTTTCTAATACTCTCTTGACCTGGAAGGCGACGAACACGTGACTTCAAAGGCCTCAACCATAGAGGGAAGACATCGGGAGAGGAAGACACTTTGCATTGTCAGCCTTCGATCAGATATATGGCTTTTTTTTGAAGTTTTAATAGGGCTATACTAACAGACAATGGTGTTGGTGTACAAGCCGAAATGTCATGCGCAAACATGTGCACATGACGTGTGATTGTGTGTGTAAACATATGGGAATCTGTTTATCTTCCTCTCTGTTTTTCTCCTTGTCTCTTTCCCTTTTCTTATTTCTCTCCTTCGACTCAATTCCTTTCTTTGCTTCTCTCTCTCTCTCTTTTCTCTTCTCTTTACTCCCCTCACACTCTCTCTCTCTCTCTTTCTCTCTCTCTTTCTCTTTCTCTTTTTCTCTCTCTTTCTCTTTCTCTTTCACTTTCTCTCTCTCTCTCTCTCTCTCTCTCTCTCTCTCTCTCTCTCTCTCTCTCTCTCTCCTCTCTCTCTCTCTCTCTCTCCTTCTTTTTCTTCTTTTCTCATTTCTTTTCTTCTCTTCTCTCTTCTCTCTTCTCTCTCCCCTCTCCCCCCTCCCGCCTTCCCCCTCTTTAAAAAAAGCCAAATCAGCCCCCCCCCCCCCCCCCGCGCCCCGGCACACTAACCCGTTCATCGTCTAATCCTAAATCGACCAATAAACTGAGAGAAAAGCATCGGCGAGTGTGTGTGTGTGTGTGTGTGTGTGTGTGTGTGTGTGTGTGTGTGTGTGTGTGTGTGTGTGTGTGTGTGTGTGTGTGTGTGTGTGTGTGTGCGTGAGTGTGTGTGTGTGTGTGTGTGTGTGTGTGTGTGTGCGTGTGTGTGTGCGTGTATGTGTGTATATGTGTGTATGTGTGTGTATGTGTGCGTGTATATATATGTATGTGTGTGCGTGTATATGTGTGTATGTGTGTGTGCGTATGTGTGTGTGTGTGTTTATGTGAGTGTGGCATGGCGGTCAGCCAGCAGCAACGCGGACAGACCTAAGCTAGCGTGGATGGGGGAGAGAGAGAGGAGATGGGGAGGGGAAAGGAGGAGGAAGGAGAGGGGGGGGAAGGAGACGGGGGAAGGAGAGGGGGGAAGGGGGAAGGAGAGGAGGGGGGGGGAGAGGTGGGGAGACAAGGCGCCTCGCTGATCCCAATGCTATGCCTGACATCCATCTCAAGAGTCGGTTTTGACGCCGATAGAAGCCTCGGTCGGTCGCGTTAAAACCCCAGCAGGGAAGAAGGGGAAGGAAGGGGGAGGTAGGGGTTAGGGGAGAGGGGGAGAGGGGGTAGGGGAAGGGAGAGAGTCAGGGGAAGGAAGAGGCAGGGGGAGGGGAGAGGGGGAAGAGGGGGGAGGGAAAGGAAGAGAGGCAGGGGAAGGAAGGGGAGGTAGGGGGTAGGGGAGAGGGGGGAGGGAAAGGGAGAAGAGGGGGGATGGGGAGGTAGGGGAGAAGGGGAAGGAAGAGAGCAGGGGAAGGGGGGTAGGGGGTTGGAGAAAGGGGGAAGAGGGGGGAGGGGAGGTAGGGGGGTAGGGGAAAAGGGGGACGAAGGGGAAGGAAGAGAGGTAGGGAGTAAGGAAAAGGGGGAAGAGGGGGGGGAGGGTTGTATTCACGTGTAGACGGTGATGAGGGGGGGAGGGTGATAGGGAACGGAGAGGAAGGGGAAGGGGGGGAGGGGGGGTAAAGACGTCGGTTTTTATACTATGGTGTGAATGTCGGGCGTTTTTCTTTTTTTAATCTGTATTTTTTTTTTAGGGGGGGAGGAGGTAGTCTGTATCTATTTTATGCTAACCATTATTCTCGCCTTTAACTTCGTCAGATTATTTTTATCTTCAGCTTAAAAAATTCCCTCTTTTCGTTACTTACTTTCTTTCATTTCTTTTTTTATCTAATCCTTTGAATATCTGTATAGAATAAGGCACGTAAAAACAATTACATAAACAACAAAAACACGAACGATGACACAAACAAGAAACAAAAAATCATTCAGTTACTTACATACAACACAATCTCTCCCAAACAAAAAGAAACAAGCCCGCTACGTGGTGAAACG